GAGTTGTAGATGTAGTGATATAGCCACGGATGATAGCATGGCGATATATTATTGATGTAATGGAATAACCTGTCACCTTCTGTGTGACTACACTATAGGTAGTAACAACCTTTGAGTATCTGTAAGTCAACGGACTACAGAGTCCAGATGAAATCTTTTTCAGCTGTACTGTACTTCGGGCAGACAGGAACCCGGAGGAGGCTATGCCGTAGAGCAGAATCTCGTCTGGGGAGGTAGCAGACTCGATCTTGTTTATGCGGAGTCTACGGAGATTTTTTGGTCGAGCTTACGACCTCAGGAACCCCACATTAAATTCAGCCTTGTGCCACATGTGATTGCGTGTGGCAGCTGCTAGATACCCTCTTGCTGAAATCTTTTTCAGCAGTGCTGGTCGAATTCTCTGCCTCAGGGCAGAGAGGAAACCCAAACGAAGCTATGTCGAAGGGCAGAGTTTCGCCTCGGAAAACAGCTACCCAACCCCGTTTATACGGGGCCTACGTGAATTTTCGGCTGAGCCCACGGGCTCGAATGCCCCACATTAAAACAGGCCTAGTGTCACATCTGATCCCGTGGGGAGGTTAGTAAATATACTAGCTGGAATCTTTTCTAGCTGTGCTATCGATCTCTCTGCCTCCGAACAGAGAGGGTCCCTAGACGAGGCTTTGCCGAAGAGCAGTCTTGTGCAGCGAGGTAGACAGACCCGATCCCGTTCATGCAGGGTCTACGAGGATTTTTTGACCGAGCCTACGGGCTCGGGAACTCCACATTAAATTCGGCCTTGTGCCACATGTGACTGCGTGGGGCAGTTGCTAGAAACTGTCTACCTGGAACCTTTTCTAGCTGTGCTGGTCAAAATCTCTGCCCGGAGGCAGAGAGTATGCACAGACGGGGCTATGTCGAAGGGCAGAATCTTGTCTCGGGAAGCAGCTACCCGACCCCGTTTTATATGGGTTCTACGGGGAATTTTTGGCTGAGCCTACGGGATCGGATACCCCACATTAAATTCGGCCTTGTGCTACATCTGATCGCGTGGAGACGTTAGTAAATAAACTAGCTGGTATCTGTTGAGAACAACTCAGACTCATGCGAGAACTACCGACCTTCCAATAATAGCACTCGCTACTGGATTGTCTTGCCACGTCCTTGTGCATAGCTGTTACCTTTATTGTTATTGTACTGGTTTTTACAACAAACCTTTACTTATTTTATCCACCGTGTTGTTCAAGTATATATTCCTATTAGCACGAAATACAACAACTATCTAATGTCACCAAAGGATAGCTGAAATGCAAATGAATGTTTAATGTATTGGAGTAGGCAAAGATTTAACATTGTAGCATACCTAATACCAACAAAGAGGTGTCTTTATATATGTGTGATAGGGACGATAGGGATGTGGCCTGGGAGCCAATGGGGTGACAGCAAGAAACATTTTAGGAGCTACCGCTCATCCTCGTCAAGCAGTGTGGCAATGTTAGAAAGAAGACACTTTCGAAAACATCGGGCCAACTATGCGTCTTCTCACTGGCCATGCAACCTATACAGTGAGGCAATTCTGAGAGAATTAGAAATCCTCCCAGGATGCATCATTGGGACTACAATCATAACAACATTCAGGTGATACAGTGGAGATAGCAGGCACGGAAAGAAAACTATAAAACCTCTTACAGAAGGTAATGAAAATATTGAGAAGAAAGGATTAAACATCAATTGTAAGAAGACAGATTGCATAGTTGTTAGCAAATGAATGAGCTGAGATATTTAAATCAAACAAATACAAAAAATCAAATATAAAAGAAGTGTTTTAACAGAAGCCGGAAAGTGTGACAGTGAAATCCGAAGGCGACTTGGGATAGCCAAAGGTGCATTCCAAAACCAAAAAGCTTCTAAAGGTACAGAAAAATTTAGTTAGAAATAAAGAAAAGAATACTGAAGTGCTATGTAATATCAGTCCTTCTATATGGCTGTGAATGCTGGGTAATCTCCTCTCAAAAAAGAAAAGAATCGAAGCAATAAAAATAGGGTTCATTAAAACAGGAGACCATAGAACAAATACGTAAATAACAACAATTTGAAGTTTTAGAGAAAATGGAAACAAAAAAGAAAATTATAATTAACATCAGGAAGTGCCTTGGAATTTGTACTCGTGAGGATTTATCGTATGGCAAATAGATAAATAAACATTTTTCGAAGAAAGAATTTGACCCAGTTTTGTATGTGTACTCGTGGGGAATAAACGTATGACAAATATATAAATATCCATCGCAGAGAGAATGTGACTTATTTTTGAATCTGTACTCGTGGGGAATAATCGTATGGCAGATAGATAAATATATATCCAATACAAAGAGCATGTGACATCCAACATTGAACACAAGACCTTGCTCAAATCTGCACATGTGGGGAACAATCCCATGACAAATAGATAACAGAGAGAACATGACCCTCTCACATCATCAAAGAATATATAGTCCATATACGTTGAGGGTGTCCGGGGGGTCACGCAACACACTCAGTGACCCAAGGTAATTTACAATGTTCGGTGTCCGGGGGGGTCACGCAACACACCTAGTGACCTAAGGTAATTTACAATGTTCGGTGTCCGGGGTCACGCAAACACAGTGACCCAAGGTAATTTACAATGTTCGGTGTCCGGGGGTCACACACCCAGTGATTTAAGCCTGTCAGGGTGCAACACACCCAGTGACCCAAGGTAATTTACAATGTTTGGTGTCCGGGGGTCACGCAACACACCCAGTGACCCAAGGTAATTTACAATGTTCGGTGTCCGGGGTCACGCAACACACCCAGTGAACCAAGGTAATTTACAATGTTTGGTGTCCGGGGTCACCCAACACACCCAGTGACCCAAGGTAATTTACAATGTTCGGTGTCCGGGGTCACGCAACACACCCAGTGAACCAAGGTAATTTACAATGTTCGGTGTCCGGGGGGTCACGCAACACACTTAGTGACCCAAGGTAATTTACAATGTTCGGTGTCCGGGGGTCACGCAACACACCCGAAGGTAATTTACAATGATCAAGGTAATTTACAATGTTCGGTGTCCGGGGGTCACCACACACCCAGAGACCCAAGATAATTCAGGGTCAATGTTCGATGTCCGGGGGGTCACGCAACACACCCAGGGACCCAAGGTAATTTACAATGTTCGGTGTCCGGGGTCACGCAACACACCCAGTGACCGAAGGTAATTTACAATGTTCGGTATCCGGGGTCACGCAACACACTTAGTGACCCAAGGTAATTTACAATGTTCCGGTGTCCGGGGGTCAAGCCACGCACCCACGCAGTGACCCAAAGGTAATTTACAATGTTCGGTGTCAGGGTCACGCAACACACCCAGTGACCCAAGGTAATTTACAATGTTCGGTGTCAGGGTCCGCCACACACCCAGTGACCGAAGGTAATTTACAATGTTCGGTGTCCAGGGTCACGCACACCCAGTGACCGAAGGTAATTTACAATGTTCGGTGTCCGGGGTCACGCAACACACCCAGTGACCCAAGGTAATTTACAATGTTCGGTGTCCGGGGGTCACGCAACACACCCAGTGACCGAAGGTAATTTACAATGTTCGGTGTCCGGGGGTCACGCAACACACCCAGTGACCCAAGGTAATTTACAATGTTCGGTGTCCGGGGGTCACGCAACACACTTAGTGACCCAAGGTAATTTACAATGTTCGGTGTCCAGAGGTCACGCAACACACCCAGTGACCCAAGGTAATTTACAATGTTCGGTGTTGAAATAAATGCTACATTACGTATTTACTTTGTAATTTACGGCATTGACAATACAATCATGCTACGCCAGTTTACCAAGCGGAAACGTCCTCGTAAATTAGCATGTACCTTTTTTGAATTCGAACACCTACCAAGAAAGTGAAATTGTATTACGCAACTATGTCAGCCATCGAGCATGCTTTTTGTTCTATTATCCTGTGATGCTACGAATATATTTCGGAAGCAGACATGGTTGATATACAAATTGTCTCCGCTGTTGTGCAGTTAGTAAGAATTAACGTTTTTTAAATTCTTTCTAATATGTCGTTCATATCTGATTATTCTCGCTTCTCCAGTGTCGGCTGATTTAACAAAATTTGATATTTCTTCTCATTATTATTATTCTTCGGTAGCGAATCTTGAATTACAGGCAAGATATCTGAAAACTGTTGGCGGCATTAATTCTATTCCAGGCAGAGAGCGGTAAATATACGGAGACGAAAAATGGTTAAAAATCAAATCAGTCCACACGGAAAAGTCATGCGATTGGCGGGAAATTTGGCTGAATTTTTATCAAATATTTGCTGACTCAGGTCGATTTTTTTATGTCTCGAGGACTTCAAAGATTTACTAAGTATATTTTATTTTGCAGATTTCTTAACAAAACAATGTTTTTTTTTTAACTTTTGTTTCATTACCTATCTCAGTCATTTTAGATCTATCTATCTAGCCAGCTGAGTCTGTTTATATCCATTTCAATCTATTCATATTTACATAATTTTTAACTCTGTCTCTGTATGTATGTATGTATGTATGTATGTATGAATGTGGCCGAGTGGTTGGTTAGAATGTTCGCTTTCTACCCATGAGACCCCAGTTCAAATCTCACTCTTCGATTTATCAGGAAGATGATTTCTTGACATTATCGATCTGGAGGAGGCGACCCCCGTCTTCGGTACTTTTGAAAAGTGCCTGAAAACCATACAACGGATTAACCCAAGCCTTGTGAGTGGGTAGTCGATGTTTGTGTTAGCACTAAGTCATGACCGAGTATCTGAGAATGATGGCCTGGTTCAGATTGTTGATCACGCTAGATAACGCTCTCTCTCCCAGAAACTGTAACTAAGGTCTGTTCAGCATAGTTGCAGTATAAACCACGGGTGGGCTCTGTGGAGGTCGAACAAACACAAATGTACCTGAGCGGGCGTCTCGAATGGGAGTTAACTACCTGTCCTAGCAGACTGGCATCCTCAGATGCGAGTGACCAGCTATCTATCTATCTATCTATCTATCTATCTATCTATCTATCTACATCGATTCATATCTATCCATCTATCTATCTATCTACATCTATTCGTATCTATCATTCTATCATCTTTGTTCTGTACACCTCTGTTTGTATGGAAATCTCTCTCTCTCTCTCTCTATATATATATATATATATAGAGAGAGAGAGAGAGAGAGAAAGAGAGAGAGAAAGAGAGGGGAGTGGGGAATATAAAGTGACAGCTAGTGAAATACATTGAAAATAATTAAAATTTATATCCTCATCATCGAATTTAAAAAATAACCCTCATCCTATATGTAAAAAGGGTGAAAAAAGTAAATAATATAATATATAAAATATATAAAATACCTAAAACCATTAATTTAATTCATCATCATAACTATCAAATATACATATATATATATATATATATATATATATATATATATATATATATGGTGCACACACACACACACACACACATACATATATATATATATATATATATATATATATATATATATATATATATATATACAAGAAGAATCCAGAACTATTTACAGAAATAACAAGAATCTAAGCATACTTAAAAAAAGAATGATAACAGGAAATATATACTAAAAACAACCAAAATAAAAGCAAACGCCAATCAAAAACCTAAAACACATATTAACCCCATCCAAATTTAGTCAGCACACAATATAGGGGGTCACAAAAAAGCAAAAAGAAAAGATGTGAGGTTTGTGATAAAATTTTCGAAGGAAACGCCTACACTTTTGAAAACGCTATCGCAACATTCACAATTAAAAAAAAAAGCAAAAAAAAAAAGCCAAACATAAACTGTAACTGTGAAAATGTAATTTATACACTCAGGTGCAAAAAAAGCAACAAATCTTATACAGTTATCACTCAAACACTAATAAACAGTCTTCTCCCACAAAAACAAAATTATATTACTAGACAACAGATAAGTCTTTGTGTCACAAATGTAACAAGGATAACTTTAAAATAATGCCAACATATCAAACAGATGATTATTCTTACCTCCAAATACAAGAAAACAACTTCATAGGTAAATATAAATCAGCACTAAAAAATCATAATCCCCCCACACACACAGATAAACATACACCATATAGATCGAGTGGCAAGACACACAAGTAGGACCACACACACACACCATACAAAATGCATCTATTTATGATATAGGTTTCCTTATAATACTATTATATATGTATGGAGACAAATATATACACATACTGGCAAAAAGAAACATACACACACACGAACCATACACACCATACAAAGTGTATATACATACTATATAGCATTCTTTTTTAATAATACAATATATATGTATGGCGAAAGAATATATATACGCATACTGCCAAAAACACACACGCCCATACAATACACATGAATAGAGGAAGAAATGAAAAATACACAGGGTATAAAATGATAACAACAAAGATATACTCCTTTCTTTCCCTCCCCCTGATCAAATTTAATTGTTTTATTACCCCTCAAGCAAAGGAACATTTTTCAGCTAGACCAAGATGAATTTAGATGAATACTACTACACACAAAATGGTTAAAAAGATTTAACATAGGAAGAAAATAGTTCCTTGCTTGCGGCCTTTTTTCTTATTATATATATATATATATATATATATATATATATATATATATATATATAGTATACAATTATCGTCAAATACATGTCATAAACACGTGTATGGTAGCACGAAAGAACAAACGAAACAAGTACCACCGGTGAGCTAAAACGAAAAGAAGTCAAGAATTATTAATATAAAATTCTTTGTATTCTAGTGCAAAGAATGTGAGCATACCATCTCTTTGTGGGTAAGAGAAGCAACTTCGAGGAAGGGTAGGAACGACATGTTGAGTGAATTAGAAATCGATCTAATTTGAAGTATAAAAAATATATATGAGACAATTTCTATTGTTACTCTTGTTTAAAGATAAATAATAGGGGAAGAATCGTCTATACAAAGCCATTAATAAAAAAAATAATCAAAACAAAATAAACGTTACAACTCGAAATGTTTATCCTACAAATTCGAAAATACTTCCTCTTTTATAGAAAATATAAAAAATGTAAAGTTATAATATAAATAAAATACTCTATTCATGCCAATGTATAAATAAATAAGTCCAGATCTTATTAATTTACATTTGTGCTGGCTAGCTGTAACCGCAAATTTTATGCTAACAGTTTTTTTTTTTCCCGCAGTTCTCGCTTGGGAAAATCTTCATACTTTACAGCCAAATTTAAAATTTAAATGCAATGTCAATCTCTAACTACTGTCCTCCTGATTACTCTTTCCTCCTCCTGCTTATTAATAATGTTTCTGGTTCTAATTCTTCCGCACTCTGAACACATTGTGTCTTAGTGGCTTTACTGTCTTGCATGGTGTGAAATCGATTAAAAAATACGGTGTCATAATTGTTCTTAATAATTGTTAGAGATAATGTATTAAACATTTGTAATAAAATGCGTCCCTAAAGTCTAGATATATAAGAAATCTCATTAACTAAATTTTTTACCTCCACAGATCTAACATGGTTTCGTCGAAAGTAGAAAGAACAGATTTATTTTTCTGGGCTATACGAAAGGAGAAGGTGTACTCAATGAAAATCACAGATGCAACACACTTGATTGAATGCATAAAGACTAAAGAAAGAATTGACTTCTTTTTCTGGTGTTTGCTAAAGGAGGTGTACTCAATGAAACTCACAGGTGCAACATACTTGACTGAATACATAAAGAGTGAACGTGCTAAAATTGGCGGTAATGTAAAAATATTGCATCGAGTTCACTTGAATCTTGCAAAGCGCATAAACTTATGCATCACAAATGATGTTAATAATTGTTAATATTCCTGTTCAATAAAGTTAATATTCCATATTCACTATAGTTTGTTGAAAATTTAATTTCTTGGAAATATGCATTTTTGCCTTGTGTCCAGACTTTACAGACAACCTATAAATTAATAAACTCATTTCTTGCATGGCGTCACAAGTATGTACCTCTGCTAGGATAGCTAAGTAATGCGTGTTGCAGATACCTGCTCAGGTACATTCTTCAAAACCCGCAGAGACAATCCAAGATTTTTACTGCAACTATGAGAGAGAGAGAGAGAGAGAGAGAGAGAGAGAACATAATCTGGGGTGATAAGCAGTTGAACAAGGTCATTAGATTCAAACCCTTGGTCAAATTGAGCTGTGACCGTGCTAGCAGAACTAGAGTCGTTACAATCTAGCCCCCAATCTGTCACTGAGTGGCTGCCACCAAGAGGCCCGCTGGCGTTGTCAGCGTCGGCCCGCCATCGGGCCATTAGCGGATTGCATGTAGGGAACACTGAGAACGTTAGAGATCCGACCGTGACACTCGAGTTCGAATATCACAACAGTCAATTTGTCATGGATATGATTTCTTAATAATACAAAGAGGTTGCAATCCTCGAAAACTATATCATAGGTTGTTTGAAGCCTTGTGAGTCACGTTGGGCTTGCACACATACACACACATATATATATAGGTTTAATACGAATGTAAACTTTTTCAGTTCAACTTCTCGACTCTATAGTTTCGTAGGCGGATTCTCCAGCAATCGCTCTGCCCTCTCGTCAGAGGATACTATAGTCCAAAATGTTTGAGACGACCCTCTGGATTTAATAATTAGTACGTTTCCTTTTGTTTAAACTAAAGAAACTAGGATGCTGAAACTATTTAAAATATTAGTGCATGTCATCTAATTTTTTAAGGAGACTGCTACCTAAAGTACGCCAGCCCTAAGATTTCCATTAACTTGCAAGGTAGATTCAGTACAACGAACTAAGAGTTTAAGGAAACGTTATGGAGTAATGTGTTAATTTAGTTATTGTTATTATTAGTGAATATATGCTCAATCCCTTCAGCAAGAGAAAGTCCCTCTGGATCGAGACGATCTAATAAAGGCGCGTTTGAAAAACGCGCGCAAACTTTTCATGCAATTTTTCGGAATCCAGAACGTGGCCACAAAATTTTTCCTATAAATGCACATGTATAGTTGCGCAGTTGGAAGCAATGCCACTCTAATAAAAGTTTCATTAAAATAACTGACAAAGTATTTCTATAAAATGACTTCTTTTTTCGAATTAGGACATTTACAAATTGTCTAAATAATTGTTCATTTCAATCTCTTTCAGCATCTCCTCACTGAAATCGAAACTGTATATTAACAACATTATTCATGAATTTAAATGCCCAATAGGCAACTGTAATACGAAAAAAAAGTCCATAAATAATTGTTTTGGACATACCACCACTAGCTTATCAAGACGGCTGACCTTACATGTCTCCGACAGGAGCTCCATAAGGGCCATTTTTAACAACATTAAAACATGTTCATATAAGCATAAAACTTTTCAATTTAACCCTAAAAGATTAAACACCGCGTATTTTAAAACGCAATAAATTACAGAACACTTGTTTCGATTAACGCGTTACTTAGAAAGATTACTTCGCTAGTCATGTAAAAACTGTCTTAATTGAAAACAATATGAGTGACGGATGGCGATAACGGCACTATTGCTTAATTACGGCTAATTTGTTTAAATAATACATTCATTATTGTTTGCGTCACGTGGCAATAATTGTAAGTAAACTGATGCAATAAAATAAGTAACCAATTAATCCTTTTAAGTTCTCTGAATATTGGCACAATTCAAAAATCACCTTCCTCCAAGCGAGTATATAAACTGTAGAACGCTGCACAAACTGCTTTCTTACAATCATATGAATAAATCGATTTCATTTCAAAGATAGTTGCATGGTCAGAAAATTATGCTTTTCAAGAAAAACATATATTTTCTTTCTCTTGAATGTTTGGCGCTACACTATCTTTTTGCGCGATATTTTTATTTTTTATTTTTATTTTTCATATATATTCTCTTGTTTTCTTTAGAACGTTCCTTTCTTAAAGTTTTATATTATTTCCTCCCCCCCACCCGAACAGAATTTTAAAAAAAAATCTATCCACTTTTCCTCCTTTCATGCTGAGATTGAAGTGACCCTCTGCACCTGATGCATAAACGTGGAGAAAGTGGAGAAA